GACTCCTGATCGAAATTTCAAGATAACGTTAACCTTCTTTATTAAAAAGTGTCAAATGTCGCAAAAAAAGCCATTTTTGAAGTATTAAACCTTAATTATCTTCGAAATCTGACGTGCTAAAATTTTTTCGTTTTCGGCATCGTTTTCAGCATTTAAAAATCTATAAGAGACACGTAGTTCGGTTCAAGGTAATTAAAAAAAAAAATTTTTTTGTAAACTAATGTAATTAAACATCGAATTTGCCATAATTACATGAAATATACATATACTTAATAATATATATGTACCTGTGAAAGACCTTAACGTAAAAATTTTCTGAAGTTGTAAGGATCTAAATTAATGTATATCGTAGTACCCGAGGGAAAAGAAAATATACTGAGCCAGAGACTGATGAGGCCAATGGGTCTGCTGTCAGCAGAATCGACTCCAAGATCAACACCGCGATCGACACCCGTCAGAAGCCTGTCACCAGCAGTTCCACGTAAGTCTAAAATAAAATAAAAGGCTTAATTTTGTAAAAAAGAGGATTAAGTTTAAGAAAATAAAATAAAATACTTAAATAACGGTAATGTAAAAAATAATAAAGATTATTTTTAGACGGACGTGAATTTAGATCACCGCAAGTTCTGCCGCGAAGCGACATATCAAAGAGGCTGAAGGTTTCCCCACCGAAATTTTATGCAGTGCCGCATAATCGTCTAGTTCAAGAAGGCGAAACTGTGCGTTTCCAATGTGCCATAGTCGGTCATCCTGCACCCTGGATAAGATGGGACAAGAATGGTACCATTGTAACACCGAGCACGAGAATCTCCATTAAAGAACGAGACGATATTAAGATACTTGAAATCATCGATGTAATACGAGAAGATGCCGCTCTCTACAGAGTAACAGCAGAAAACGATTTTGGTCGAATTGAGGCCAGTGCTCGTCTTGAAGTAATAAGTACGTATACAGCGTGTCCTATTTGAAACTTTGAACCCAATTATTTCCCAAACTATTTGTTATTCCAAGAAATGTTTCAAGTGAAACCTACTTTGTTTCAAGAGGAACATCTTTCAAATAGAGGATCTGTGACCATCGAAAGATGTCCCTCTCGAAACAAAATAAGTTCCATAGTTCTTGAAACATTTTTTGGAATAACAAATATTTTGGGAGATAATTACGTCTAAAGTTCAAATGAGACGCCTTGTATATAAATAACGAGATGAGGTACTTTTTCTATCTTACAAATATTCTCATTCTATAAAATTAATTATAAATAGATCGATACGAATCAATAAGTCGAACTATCAGAACTAGAAGTGCCTCACCTAGAACATATCCTACGTTCGATCGAAGTCTTCTTCCGACTACCAGTAGAATAAACAGCCGTTTACAATTATAATGTCGCATAAGAGGAATGCCGAACGTAACATCAACGTGGTATAGGTAAAAATGGAGAGATTTTATTGAGTGAGAAATCTACAACAAAGCATTATTAAAATATAATTTATGTCTAGAAATGGACGACCGTTAGAACGATCTTCCAGAGTAAAAAGATATTTTGATGGCACAACTGCTAGAATCGAAATATCAAAAATAAAAGCTAGTGATGCGGGTGAATACACCTGTGTAGCAACCAATATTCTTGGATCAACGAGAAATAGTTGTCAGGTGAAAATCCAACACAAATTGTCATAACAATTTGTCACCATTTCCTTAAGATCTTCTTTCAATTTAAAATATATGATTATTCGCAGGTAACTGTTTTAAGTTCTCACGATTTGTCTATCGCGGATAATAATGCACCGCAATTTTTGCAATCATTGCCCAAAGAATCAATTGTCATGGAGAATTATTGTCACGAATTTCAGGCTGGAATCATAGGTAAAACTTAAATTATTCTTTAAATTTATGTTTAACACTAAATTAAGTAAATTTTTTAAAATAAAGTAAATCTTTTAAAATATAATCTCTCTCTATATTGTTTCAGGTACACCTCCTTTCATGATTACTTGGTCCAAGGATGGTCGTGAATTACCTGATAGTGATTATTATAAATATATTATATACGAAGATGGAGGTGTTGCTCTCAGAATAGCTGAGGTTCGTCCAGAGGATGCCGGTGAATATATCTGTATTGTACGAAACGATTTTGGTATTGCGTCGTGCAGTAGTCTTTTTGCTGTTCAAGGTCTGATTTATTCTTAAATTATTTTAATTTTAATATTGTTATTAGATTGTCCTTTTATTTAATACTATCGCTTTACGTCTACTAACGTTTTAAAACAGATTACAAAGATGTTTTCAAGCCAGCGCTCCAATTTACAAAAACTCCGTTACCAGTTGTTGCTGCTAAAGGCAGTACCGCTAGTTTCTGTGTTAGAACGCAGTGTAGAAAACCTATAGAAATTGTTTGGACAATTAATGGAAAAGATGCTCGAGAAAATGCAAAATGTAAAGTACGTAAAAATACAAAGATATATATATATATATATATATATATATATATATGCACACATTTTATTATGAAATGTAGATTTTAATGTTTTAAGCTGTAATTGTTGTAAATTGTAATCATTTCTGTATTTAAAGATTGAAAAAGATGGTAATATCAGCATTTTAAGAATACGTGACATATCATTACGCGACACAGGCGAGGTTCGATGTATAGCTTCCTTGAACGGGAAGAGTCCGTCCATCAGCTGCATTGCCAAGCTACAATTACAAAATCTATTATGTGATTTCAATGACTCCGTGACGAAATCTAAAGATGTTCAATCTCATGCACAAACCAAACTAACATCAACAAACACTAATCTTATAAGCATGACGGAAAAAATGGCAAAACTGTCGTCATTAAAATGTCGGCGACATTACGAAAAACCGCTAACGCGTATTAAATCATCTTCGTTTCCTCGATGTATTGCATCGTATACCAAGCATATTTCACCTTTGTCAATAAGAAAACGCATTTCTAATAATGTATCAAATGTCAAAAAATCACAATTTGCGGAAGATTTGTCGATACAAAGAATTATAAAAAAAAATTTAGACAATAATCTAGAATTTTCCAAAGATCAAAGATTATTATCTTCATTAAACAAAGAAGGTATAACTGATACTTTCATAAATTTATTGCCAAAGAAAACGAAACAACTTTTTCATCAGAATATTGACTCTATACCAAAAAAAGAACCTGTGGAATTGCATCTTCAAGAATTGATAAAAGCTACAATAATAAAAGAACCAACTGACACTAGCGTATATAGAGGAAGCAGAGTACTACTCGAAGTAACTTATCAAGGATGTCCCGAACCGATAGTCAAGTGGCTTCAAGTGGTAGGTCCATTTCTTTTGCTTTTAATACAAATTTTACCAACTAGTGCCAAGAGAGAAATATCCATTTTAATTTATTAGGTGTACAACTTTGCTTCCGCCGTTTTTTTTCCGAAATTCGAGGCTTTATTGTAAAAAACTGGTTATACATTTATGATTCAAAGTATTGCTGGCCACTACTTTCTCCCATCTTTCGGACAGCGTACAAATCCCGCGTCGAAAAAACTAGTCATCTTTTGATACGATCCACAAATCGATCCAATTTTTTACTTCTTCATAAGACCGGAAGTGCTGGTCAGCCAGGCCGTGTGCCATTGATCGAAACAAGTGATAGTCAGAGGGAGCAACGTCTGGAGAATACGGCGGGTGGGATAGGACTTCCCATTTCAACGTTTCCAAGTATGTCTTGACCACTTTCGCAACATGAGGTCGAGCATTGTCATGCTGCAAAATCACTTTATCGTGTCTTTCGTTGAATTGCGGCCATTTGTCTTTCAATGCTCGGCTCAAACGCATCAATTGCGTTAGATACCGATCGCCTGTGATTGTTTCAGTCGGTTTTAACAGCTCATAATACACTACGCCGAGCTGGTCCCACCAAATACAGAGCATGACCTTGGAGCCGTGAATATTCGGTTTCGGCCGTCGACGTGGAAGCATGGCCGGGAACTCCCCATGATTTTCTGCGCTTGGGGTTATCGTAATGAACCCATTTTTCGTCCCCAGTCACAATGCGATACAGAAATCCCTTCCGTCTTTGCCTTTCAAGCAGCTGTTCACAAGCAAACGAACGCCGTTCAACATCTCTCGGCTTCAACTCGTACGGCACCAAATTTCCTTGCTTCTGAATCATTCCCATGGCTTTGAGGCGTTTTGAAATTGCTTGTTGAGCACTCCCAATGATCGTGCCAATTCTTCTTGATTTTGACACGAATCTTGATCAAGTAATGCCTCCAATTCTGCATCTTCGAAAACCTTCTCTCTTCCAC